TCACCTCCTATTCACCCCGTCATTGAAGGAGGGATTCCTCACACGAAGTAGTACAAGATGGCCAAACATACCACACCTGGCCCTGGACAGATGAGATGGACAGCAGGTTATTAGCCACATATACTCACAGCCTGTGGGAAGACATCACACACCACGTAGGGCCACGTGGGGGTTGCTCTTGGGAGTTGAGTAAACAAGCAGGGGCGGGAGGAGGTAGGCTTTCTATTAACCAGAGGGTAGGGTGACCCCTGGTTCCGGCGGGAGGATGTGATTGGCTAGTTTGAACAACTTCATGGCTGACAGGGAACTAATATCCATCAGGTTGAGGACCAGGGGGAATGAAGCTGGTGGGGTTAATAGGGGAACTACCCAAGTGGGGTGCCTTACCCACTGGGTGGGGGACATCTGGCAAAAGCAGGAGAACTTATGGTTAGGCTTCTGGGGCCCCATGGGGCTCGAAGATGTCAAGGTAGCCCATGAAATTTTAGGCCTTACGCTATAGATACAAAAGAAGAATAAGACATGTTTCCTGACTGAAAAGAGCTTGAATTCTCCAGGCCGGGGTGGGAGTTGGGGATGGAGGTGTGGGAGTGTCAAACCGTTGTAAATGGTTCTGTCGGTAAAAGCGCGGGAGGACTTCTGAGCATATCCAGGAAATACGGTACAGTGACTGCGACGGGTAGACTTCATAAAAAAACACAGAGCTTGGGACTTCCCCGGCGGTCCAGTGGTTAAGACTTCACCTTGCAATGCAGGGGGTATGGGGTTCGATCCCTGGTCAGGGAGCTAAGATCCCACATGCCTCGTGGCCAAAAAAACCAAAAAAACATAAAACAGAAGCAATATTGTAACAAATTCAATAAAGACTTTAAAAATGGTCCACATCAAAAAAATCTTTAAAAAGAAAATATGGAGCTTGGCTAGAACGTCAAAGGTGGGTAAGATGCACAGTTAGTCGGGAGCCAAATCAGGAGTCATTTCAGAAGAGGAATGAGATTAAAAAGTTCTTGCTTATGTTTAAAGAACATTCAGTTCACGTATTTGACATATACTTACTCGGGGGCACAGACAGCACAGAGGATAGGGTAAGGAAGAAGCTCTAAGGACAGTGTGGGCCTTGCCTGTCAGGCTGTCTGGTCCGAGTTGGGCATGAACTATGGGCAGTGGTGTCCCAGGAAGGCCAGAGCCTACCCTTCCCTGAGGGCCTCAAATGTAGACTTTGGCTATAAGCTCCAATGAGGTAAAACAAGCCCAGAAATACAGCAATGGGAAAAAAAGATGTTCAATTTGTAGCTGTAATTGTTGCAAATATTTAAAATATGCCACAATTTCAATACCTTTTTCAGCATTTATTTTATAATACACCAGGACCCTGAAAATAAATGGAAGTAGGCCTCAACTTCAGAAAGGCCCTACCGGCCAGATGGCTCCCGGTGGCATCCAGCCCACCTTGGTCAGGGCCCATCTCTGCACTCCCTCCCCTTGGGTCCGTGCCAGGCATTCCCATCTCAGAGCCCCCGGAGAACTCTGGGCCTATTCTCTCCTGTGGAGCAGTGGGTACTTAATGCTCCAGCCAACTGAGCTACCCAGCGTGTACGGGCTGCCACAAACAAAGACAGAAGCCTCTAAATTACTGAAGGGAGCACTGTGTTCTTCCCAGTACAGGGCAGTCATTTTTGGGTTGTCCAGTACGAGTGTGTACCCTCTAAGATATTTATCAGAGACTCATTTCACCTCTTGTACTTGGCAGCCAAAGCACATTGATGCATGCTAACATGTCCTCCGGTTTGCTCTAATTTTATATCCCAAACACCCCCTGAGAGAAAAGATAAAGGGGTGTTCTTTGGCTCCAGGAAATTCAGTGGGACTTAACTTTCTTTTCCTGAATGAATATGTGCTATGTATTATTTATTTGTGAAACACCAAACAGTTTAGCTGGGATGATATAAAGAAAAAGAAACCTTGCCATATCTTCAGGAATCAACAATGACAACAACGGAAAACTTCAAACATGAGAGAGAGAAGAGAAAACCTTTCATGGATACAATTATCCCAGTTGGCAGCAATCAGGTCCAAAAGCTATAATACAAAATAGCTCCAATTCTCATGGCAAGAAATGAACTTGTTCCAGAATAAATGGCTGTATAGATGAGTCCAAAGAGTTCCAGCACAACCAAATTAATAGTTTGAGTTGGGGGAGGGGTGTGTGTGCGCAAACATCACATTAGCCATTCTGAGAACTGTTTGCAGATTTTAAAGACAACTGTAACTACTTTCACGATGACCCCATGGGTGATGATGTTCTCAGGTCTGGACATCAGGAAGTCTTTAAGTATGTACTAGATCAGTCACAAGGAAGCCACGGTGACCCTAAACGCAATTATGAGTTCAGTTGACACCTCAGTAGGAAAACAAAGTATCCAAAGTCTGTTAAAGACTCACTAAAGCATATAATGTCCTGGAACAGGGAATCATTGTACTGTACATTCTTGCAGGAGGTGGAACATTTCAGATGTGTTCTTTCAGACGAGATTATTTGGGAAACGAGTGTCTAAGAATCGTAAGACTGAGATAAATGCCCACTTAAATCCTGAAGAAATTCTGATTTCGTCTTTGGATTGTGGTTTTCTTTGGAAGCCTGAGTTGCTTTTGAACCACAGTGCATACTTAAAACTGACCAAAGGGGCTTTCACATGAATCTTGGGGAGATATAAATGTGAGATTAGAGGATACTGGACTCTGAAGTAATGTGGGAATTGCTAAAACACTAGTTGAGGCCCTGGATCTATTACTGTCTCTGCTCCCGACTGGCCTGGTGAGCTTTTGAGCCATTCCTCCTGACTCAGGAGGTACTATGGTTTCCTCTTTCTCTCTCACTCATAAAAATATATTATCTGGAAACTAAGGTAGCCATATGAAAGAGGAAAGAGTAATCACACAAACAAATGCACACAACTTCATTCTGAGAGTACCAGAAGGTTCATTTGTAAATCAGTACTTGTACATTACACATGCACAAGCACGCACACGTGCACACACACACACACACAAATTCATTTTTAAAATTAGAGTATTACATTTGCAGAAATGCATTTGTTTTAAATCCAAATATCTTATTTACTTAATGGCCTGTAAGTGGCTACTTTAGTGTGTCTGATGAAAAATACATGACCATACCTGAAAAAGCTTACGTCAGAAAAGAGCCCAGATTACTGACACAGCACTATGCCCAATGTATATATATTTAAAGCACATAAACAGATAAACTTCAGTTTTTTTGTTAGAAATGTTCATTGAATAAGTAGAAAGAGCTCAAAACAAATATAAAAAAAGGACCTGCATTAAAAAATCATCTATGTTCAATTCAGTTATTCAAAAATGCTTATCTTTAAGTCAGCAGTATTTAATTTTAATTTGGAAAATGTCTTAAATTTTGACAGCATGCCTGAGTGAGAATGTGCAAATCATATACAATCCCCATGGAGATGACCCGGTGACCTTTGCATTTTATTTAGGTCAGTGTGGCCAGCAGGGCCTGCTTCTTCCTCCTCCATGCAAATGCTGTGAAGAGAAGAAGAAAACTGCAACCAGACAGGAGTGAGGAGTGGGGACGTAGGAGAAGCCCAGCAGGGCGGGGAGCCGGAAAAGCCTGCCCTGGGGAGCCCCAAGGCTTTCTGGGCCTGCAGTGGTGCAGCCACAGACAGACTGTTTAAACACTGTCCGCGTGCCTGGGTGGTGCGGTGGGTCCACATGGCTACCGCCTGCTCCCCCAGCCTCATGGGTGGACATGTGTATCACCCAACATGTGCTTGATGATTTCTACTCATCAAGGGAGTAGAAATACAATTCTAGTTTTCTCAGATGAGGACTATTAACAGTTATCTCATCTCCCAGCTTTCTGCTTGGCCCCCGCTCCGGGCCTCCCTCTCTGCCAAATGATGCTGGGTGAGATTTCAACACTCCCATCCGATCCCCTGGCTCCTCCATGAGGGCCCTGGGCTGACTACCTAAAGGGCGAACCCCTTAGCCTGACATCCAAGCCCCGCTGCAAGCTGGTCCCAGCCTTCAGCTCTGGCTGTGGATCCCCTCCATGCATTTGCAGCTGCACAGTCTTCTACAAACGTACTTTTCCTTTCCTTTTATTTTTTATTGAGGTATAATATGTAGGAAGTTCATTCATCACAAGCGTATGGCCTTACGATTGTCACACACGTCTGTATCCATGGTTAACCACAACCAGACCGAGACGTAAAACATTCCCTCCACGCTAAGTTTCCTGGCCTATACACACCCCACCCATCACCCTGGGTTTTGCCTGTTTTTAAACTTTATATGAATAAAATGATACAACATGTATTACTTTTTGTCTGTCTTCTTTCAACATAAATGCTTGGGAAGTTCACCCGTGTTGTACAAATATTTAGTTCATTTTGTCTTGCTGAGTAGTATTCCACGGTATGAGTACATCATAATTTATCCATTCTCCTGCTGCTTCGTCATATTTCTCTTTTGGCACTTAGCATAGTGGAAGGTTTGAAGAATAAGGCTCACGGAGGCATAGCCACTGCCTGGGAGGTGGTTTCCTGAGGCCTCAGGGGGCCTCGTTCTAGTCTGAAGAGTCGGATGTGAGCCTCTATTGTGAGATGACGCAGAGGGGCCCAGAGCAACTGCGTGCTCGGGACTCAGAAAGTCAGCACCCATTCATTTATTCAGAATGAGAAACGTGACCGTCATATACTCAGGTGAAGACATTTCATCTATTTTTAAATGGTTCTGTAATATTTATGTAGCCTTTCTTCCAAGGAACTATGAATACATTTAAATAATGAGTCGCCTTCCGAGGAACTATGAATATATTTAAATAATGAGTCGCCGCAACATCCTGGGAAATAGACTGTTGGAATTTACAAATGAAGAATTTGGGACAAACGGAATAACTAAGGCTACCCAAGGCAAACTAAGGGAAAAAAACAAGGAAAAGGCATCAGCTTCAACCATACCTCTGCTTCGGTTTTCCTCAGTCCCAGCAGGCGGGGCCGTCAAGTGGTTAAGGCTTCAGGCTCTGGGCAGAGGGTGTGGATTCAAATCTGTGCTCTGCTCCCACTTCCGTGACCTTGGGCAAGTCACACCGCTTCTCCATGCCTCAGCTATGCCACCTAGAAGAATGGGGTGATAATAGGAGTTCAATGAGCTGACAGACAGAGGCAGAGTGATTTGAACAATGCTGGAATGTAGCAAGCAATTTAAAAATGCCAGCTATTATTATTGTCTTGGTTTCCATAAATTGTCACTTTCCTCATTCTCAGAAAATTGGATCACATTTAGGCATTACTGACTACTAAGGCCTCAGCTTGAAGTCATGATGATCAAACCATCATTTTTAAATTCCCGAGGGACAGGCAGTTCTAGAGAAGAATCAGTGTCCGCGATACTCAACAGGTTCTTTTGATGGCAACTAGAAGGAAATTAGGAAAAAAAGACCCAGCATTAGTCAAAGCATCCCAAGGTGATTAGAATGTTTTAAATAACTATATTGTGTTAGGGAAACTGGTTTATATATCGGTTCTGTTTCTGTTTTTTCAAATACTGTTCTAGAAAGGCAGGGAATCTGAAGCATTATTAAAGCTGAGGGCTTTTCTGGGATTTGCTAAGGAAAGTTCACAATTCAGGGCTACTAATTAAAATTAATTCTACTTATTGTGCATAACTTAGGTCCTAATGAGGTGAGAAACTGCAGTAAAATAATTAAAGACTGAAAATATCTTCTCTGAATAAAAACAAAACCAGGGAGGCTTTATATTCTCAATTCTACCTTGTTTCTCTTCAGCCGAATTTGGATAAAAAGAGAGCAGCTCTGAGAACAGGGAGATGGAAAATCAAAACAAAATCTTTCATGTAATTAGTTTATACAATCCAGGTAGGGCAAATAGAGCACCTGTGAATGGTAGAGAATGAAGTCTTGGCAGGCATTGAAAGGTAAGCCACTCAGGGACTTTTAGCTCAAGACCAGTCCAAAAGTAAAAGTGCCCAGGAAAGGATCTGATTCCAAGCCAGAATGACGCAAATGTGACAGTTAAGCTTGAGTGTCAGAAGAACCCAATTACATTTTGATACGCATATCGTCCAAAGGTTACTCTTAAAGAATAACTTGTATTGACGAATGTGTTCAAGTTTCACACTTATAATGAGAATATTTTTGGATAGACAGCAAGAGTAACAAAGAAAGAGAAATACTGAGAGACAGAGAGTGGGGGGGAGAGAGGGGGAGGGAAGGGGGGAGAGAGGGAGAGAGGGAGAGAGGGAGAGGGAGAGAGGGAGAGGGAGAGGGAGAGGGAGGGAGATGCAGGAAGTCAATATCTCCATGTGTTGGATCTTCAAAAACATGAAAGGCCCATTGGGACTTCCTGGAAAAGGCAAATTCCAGGTTGCCAGTTCTTGGTAAGATTTGCGTTACATACAGTGAGTGGGTGGGGCATTGGGTCTCCTGGAACTGAGATCACAATCTGGGGACCCTTAACTGAAATCTGCCATTTTTGATGATCTACACTGGGTTTAAAAATATTTTTGAACCCTAACTCTCACAAAAGAAGATGTCACATTTTTTTAAAATCCCAATTTCTGGCTTCTCTCACAAACCCTGAGGTTCCGGCAACACTGGACCAGTGTTCCGGCCCACCAACAGCTGGCAGTCACTGAGTGGCGTCTCCCACTCATCTTTTAGCTGCCAGGCCCTGGAGGATTTTGAGATTTCACCCTTACCCAGGGTATTTATGTTGGTGGAGGGGTCTTAGGGGTGAAGAACAGTAGGACCTCTGGAAAATCTTTCTTGAGGCAAAATATATCTGTTTGAAAGCAAACAGATGGGAGTATTGTGGGATCTCTTTGGGAACCCTAATGGACAGGGCTTTGCTCTACCTGTAAGACGGCACCAACAACCTCTCGGGTCGCTATCAGGGTATAAATATTTGGATAACCACCTCCAGACTGAACTTCTCCAGGCCAGGGGACTCATTCTCCTTCATCATTCACATCCCCAGTTTAGCACAGTGCATGGCACAACGTTGGTGCTTAACAAATATTTATGGAATGAGTAAAAGATCAGATGACTTCATGTTCTCCACCCTCTAAATTGAGTACATGAAGGTATTTGCTTTTTTTAAAAAAATAAAAGTAGTTCAGTTCTCTGGGTGTCATCTCTTTCTACCGTATACTGTACATCCATTCTATGGACCGTTATGACCCTCAGGAAGTTCACCTCCTGCTAACCCGCAAACTAGACAGGGAAATTACTGGGCCACCTCTAAACTCCCTTCCAGCACTTTAAATGAGCCTCCCAGGAAATGAGCCAAGAGTATACCAACTGATGACCAGCTGCTCTGCAGGGAGGAACACAGGGGATTTGTTGCTTGTGTATTTGAGCAATATAGCATTTAAATCAGGGCGCACCCAGTCTCCACAAACTCAGTGAATAATTCTGTGTCAGCCAGCTGCTTTTGCTTTGTTAAAAGGAAGCTGTTTGTCAGTGTTCCAACGTCTTTGGCCAGATTTTCCCCAGGATAATGATGAGCAAATGTTGGCTGTTTATATATCCTGCTTATAAATCAGGAATTCCAAACTCAGAAGCCTACAGGGCCAGGCAAGTAGTAGACATGAGTGAAAGTTGCTGGTACAGTCAAGAGGGACGGCCATTCCACCCCTCCAAGTAGCTAAAGCTAATGCAGAAATCTGGGTCCAGTGTCGCTAGGTCTTCTGATTTTTTTAAGTGAAGCCGGGCATCTGACTTATACAGACAGTAAACAACACAACGAAAAAAGGCCCAATTGAGCAGGCCAGATTGAGCCCTAAACCCTCAGGTTTTTGAAATCTCTTGAAATCTTGGCTGTTTAGCCAAGTAGGGGGTAAATTTCGCTGGTGAAGTCTTTTATGATAAGGAAGACACCTAAGGCACCTTGGTGGTCTGTGCAGAGCAATAGAAAATCTCCTCCCCACCAGCTACAAGGGGCCCTAGGATCCTCTGAAAGGAAACCTAGCTTTTACTTTTTTCTTGGATTTATTTTTAATGAGGCATTTTGGAATCGTTACGAAAAAAGAACCACATAAATGTGAAGTAGTTAACTCACAGAACACCCATGTGGGAATGAATTGGTACTATCAGCCAGAGACAACAGCACAGCTCCTCTGCCAGAAGCTGAAACTGTCATGCGTATCTGTACGTGTATGTGTGTGTCCATGTGTGTGTATTTTTTTTTTACCATAGGTGGTTAATATTTATTTTAAGAATGCTTTTTTATTCCAAATCAGGTTTTAGTAGTTATTTGCCTTCATCAAATAACCATGGGACAGAAATGCGTCCCTTGCCCAGAGCTGTTTTGTTTTGAATGTGGGGAAGGAAATGGGAAAACTTTTCAGGCTTTGATCCCTGGACCAGATTACTTTCTGACTCACAATGAGGCCACAGAAAGGACATGTGAATAGAACAGACACTGAAAACCTTCACTGGCCAAAGCCATGGCAGTGGTGCGGGCTCCTGTAGCTTGATTTCTTCTGTTTGATATTAATAATGAAAATAAAGACAATGATACTATCATTTCCATTCTGCCTGTGTATCTTACTTTGTGGGGGAAAAAATGTGACTAAAAGCCAAGCCAATTCTGCTTTTTCAATGTTCATTTGTAAATTGGAGATATTAATCACTACCTTGTAGGATTTTTGTGAGCATTGATAAGTTTAACATTTATCGACCACCTAGAAGAGTACCCAGTACCTAGTAGAACTGAAAAGACAGCAGGTAGTAGTACTGCTATTATTAATACTTTACGCTTTCATTTATGCTTTATGACCTTGCTGCTCTGAGTGTGGCCTGGGATCAGCAGGGTCAGCACTCTCTGGGTGCTTGTTGGAAATATAGGATCTCAGTTCCTTCCCCAGACTTACTGGCTTAGCCTGTTCGGGCTGCTATAACAATTTAGCACAGACGGGTGGCTTATTTCTCACAGTTCTGGAGGCCGCCAGTCAGAGAGCTGCATGCCAGCTTGGTCAGGTTCTGGGTGCGTGCCCTCTTCCTTGTTTACAGAGGGCGGTCTCCTTGCTGTGTCCTCACATGGTGGGAAGAGAGTGAGCTAGCTTTCTGGCCTCTTCTTATAAGAGCACTAATCCCATCCATGAGCACTCCACCCTCACGACTTAATTACCTCTTAAAAGGCCTCACCTCCAAATGCCTGGGGATTAGATTTCAACATATGAGTTTTGGGAGATGCAAACTTTCAGTCCATAACACCTACTTGAATCAAAATCTGAATTTTAGGAAGATTGCAGGTGATCCATGTTCCCAGTCAAGCTGGAGAAAGCTTAGCTTTGTAAAGTGTACTTGGTACGTTTTATATTTTAAATATCCTTAAATAGTGTCCTTAAACTTGAATTCTTTTGTACCATCTACACCATGCTTGCTGTCTGTTTCATCTTCACCACTGTTAATACACATTTTGAATAGTCCTAATTTTTAAAAAAAGACTTTAACTTGCTCCTGAACAATGATTTAAAAGGTTTGATATCCTAGTTATATTTATTTCTAATATAGATTGAGATAAATAATTAGCTATTAAGCAAAAACATGTCCTCATGCACCAGTAAAACCATCCTGGGTATCCCTATGGCAGAGGTCCCCAACACCTGGGCCGGGGCCTGGTACTGGTCCGCAGTCCGTTAGGAGCCAGGTCGCACAGCTGGAGGTGAGCGGCAGGCCAGCGAGCGAAGCTTCATCTGCCGCTCCCCAGCCCTCCCCACCGCTCCCCAGCGCTTGCCTTACCATCTCCCCCTCCCCCATCTGTGGAAAAACTGTCTTCCATGAAACTGGTCCCTGGTGCCAAAAAGGTTGGGGACCACTGCCCTATGGCACACACACAACATCTTTTAGGCAACATTCTCCCAGGAGGTCTCACTATTTGTAAGAAGGTTGTGCTCAGTGATTTAATAAAGTGAAGGGTTTTTTTTTTTTCTGATCCGAATAATCACTCCCTGGTTTTTCTATTTTGTCAATTTAAACTGAGGCTGCATAATGTGACAGAAAAGATTTTACTTTCTATCATGTATCTGGACCAGATTTCTTCCTCTCTTTTTTCTTAACTTCCACTGGTATCTATTCAGCAACCACTACATGCCAGGCTTGTGCTTGGTATGAAAGACACAGTTGAGGAAGACAGTATTCCTTCCCTAGAGTCCTACCATCTGGTAGTTGTGATAAGTGTAGTAGAAAATGACGAAGATTATGGTAAAGCAATGCTCAGGACATCATGGAGGCACAGAGCAGAGCACCTGACCCACCCGTGGGGTCTGAGCAAAGTTTCCTGGCAAGAAGTAGAGTCTTAGCTCAAACCCAAAAGATTGGCAAGGGGCAGAGGGGAGAGCATGCTTAAAAAGGTATATATCATGGGCAAAGCTGCAGACCAAGAAACAATAAGGCAAATCTCCCAGAGTCTCGGTTTCTTCATTTGTGGTGTGAAATAGGAAGGATACTTACCTCATTAGGTCACTTAGAACAAAAACACTAAGGTATGTGTTTATCTGTGAGAATTATCTGTCTGCATTTTCAGAGATATATATATAGAGGGAGGGGAGCAGTGCCAAGTAATAGCTACCATTCCACTCCTAGCTATATACACAAGAGAAATGAAAATATATGTCCACATAGAAATTTGTCCACAAGTATTCATAACATCATTCTTCATATTAGCCAAAAAGTGGAAACAACCCAAATGCCCATCAACTGATGAATGGGTAAATAAAATATGAGATATCTATACAATGCAATATTATTTGGCAATAAAAAGAAATGAAGTACTGATACCTGCTACAACAGGTATGAACCTTAAAACATTATACCGAGAGAAAGAAGCCAGAAACAAAAGGTCACATGTTACACAATTCCATTTACATGCAACGTCCAGAATAGGCAATGTATATTCAATAGATTCTTATAAATCTATAAGGACAGAAAGTAGACTAGTGGTTGCCTACGGCTGGAGGTAGGGTAAGGGTGGTAAGTGCTCGCTAATGGGGACTGGGTTTCTTTCTGGGTAGAAATGCTCTAGGATTGATCATGATGATGGTCATACAACTCTCTGAATATACTAAAAACCACTGAACTATACACTTTAAATGTTTGAATTGTAGTATGTGAATTATATCTTAATAAAGCTATTTTTTTAAAGTAATTGCTAAAACCCTCAAAGCATAATCTAAGCACAGTTCTAAGTGTTGTATACTGTATATGTTAACTATTTAATTCTTACCTTACCCAATGAGATAGGTACCATGATGGTCCCCCGCAGAGACTGCCCAGGAACCCACAGCCAGTAAGTGGAAGAGCTGTGATAGGAACCCAGGATGACTGGCTCTGGCAGATACACGCTTAACTTCCACTCTACACTCTCCCAGCTTGGGAGCCATCAAAAGAGTTCGTTTTAGATTCACATAAACCTGGGTTCTGATCTCGCTTACCAGCCGAGCGATCATGGGCAAATGACTGAAGTCAGTTCTCTTATATGTTAAATGGAGATAATAATAGTGCATATCTCATAGGGACTATCTGTAGTAAGCCGTTATTAATCGTGAGGCCCCTCTTTTATGTAGTATTGTCACCGGTTTAAGAACTGAAAAGCACCCACAAATCGAAGCAGCAGGCAGCCTAATGTCATGGAGACTTGGAGAGTCGGCTTATTATTTCTGCAAGTACAAAATTTTCCACATAGAAGTGGCCTGGTAAACTAGTGGTCTGACACCCTACCTTTTACATACTATAACTTCAAATTAAAGGTTTAAATGACAATAAAAGTATTTGCCACATGCACGAAGCATTTGAAATGTTGAGGATTTGCTTTTTTATTGCACGAAAATAAGCAGAAGTGTGAGACGGAAAGAAATGTGTCACTTCCCCAGCACTGGCCTGAAAGGGCAGAGTGACCTTACACGAGAAGAAAAACTCCAGTAATTTCCAAACTAATCTAATTTTAAATTTCTGGATTTTTCATTTCATCTTGTGGAGATGTACTTATTCTTGGAAAGAAAAATAAAACCCCAAGGACATGAGTGATAAATGAAGTTGTAGAAGTTTTGCTGGCAAACTCACACTGCCCAGTGCTACAGAGCTCATTTGCAAGCCAGGGAAGCCAATCAAAGTCCAGTGCAGTTCTCTCAGTGCCCAGAATGTTCCTTTGAGCACAGTTTGTGTCCAGAATTTTTTTTTATTCGGGAAGGAGCACAGTTTGCTATGGTGTGATTCAGTCTCTTCTTTCATCTCCTACAACTTTCCTTCTAACACTCAAGGAACCAGCTCCCCCCGCAGATTTCCACCCTGTGGAAAATGCACCACTGGCCTTTCAGCTGTTCAGATCATCGGTGATTCCTCCTTTTCTCTCCCACATCCAGCCTATGGGTACATTTGGCAGGCCTCCTCCAAAATATGTCTTGAATCTTTTCACTTCTAACTTCTTTGCCACTGTTAGTCTCAGCTACCTACCTCTCCTTCCCAGACTACATAATCGGCTTTTAAAAGTGCCCTCTGTCTCCACTGGGCTCCCTGGAGTCAGCCCTCCACAGAACAACCAGAGAGAGAGTTTATTTTTTATTTTTTTGGCCACACCCCACAGCTTGCGGGATCTGTGTTCCCCGACCAGGGATTGAACCCACACCCTCAGCAGTGAAAGCTCGGAGTCCTAACCACTGGAGCGCCAGGGGATTCCCCAGAGAGATATTTTAAAAGCTACTCATTGGGTCAATCTCCTGCTTTAAACCTATCAAAAGTCAAAATCCAAATAGACGGTTGGAATATGAAAAGGTGTCTGACATCATTAACCATCGGGGAAAGTGAAATTAAAGCTACAATGAGAGACTACTGCACACCTGCCAGAATGGCTACAATTTTAAAAGTTAAAAAGATTGACAATACCAAGTATTGCTGAGAATATAGAGGAACCAGGACTCTAGACACTGCTAGTGGAAGGGAATATGTAATGAGTTCGGAAAATTGTTTGGTGATAGCTAAGAAAGCTAAACATAAGCTTACCCCATGACGTGGCAACTCCACTCCTGGGTATGTATATACACACCCAGGACAAATGAGTGCCTATGTCCACTACAAGATGTTCAAGAACATTTATAGAGGCTTTATCTATAACAGACAAAAATCGGCAACAATCTAAATGTCCATCAACAGTACAATAGATAAACTATTATGTATTTATATAACAAAGTATAACAAGTAATAGAAAAGAATAGACTCCTGGGACTTCCCTGACCATCCAGTGGTTAGGACTCCATGCTTCCACTGCAGGGCGCATGGGTTCCATCCCTGGTCGGGAACTAAGACCCCACAAGCTGCACCGTGCAGCCAGAAAAAGAAAAAGAAGAGTAGACTCCTGGCACACGCAACAACAAAGATGAATCTCTCAGACAGATGAAGACAGACAAACGTTTGTACTGTATGATTCGATTTATAAGTTCAAGAATAAGAAAAACGAATCTGTAGTGATAGAAGGCCAGCTGGTGGTTACTTGGTCTTTACCTTTGCTGGGGACTGGGGTGGAGGGACGGCTAGACAGAGAAGTGGCATGAGGGAAGCATCTGAGGTTTGGAAATGTTCTGTATCTTGAACTGGGGGGGTTGTTTCCTGAGTCGTGTGCGTGTTGTCATCAAGTGGTGCACTTTCTGTGCACCTTACAGTGTATGTTTTACTTCAGTTTAAAAGAGTCAACAGCACACTAATGCACTTAGGATGGAAGCTACACGTGATGTCACGGTCTGGCTCCCACCCTCTTTTCCTCACCTCATACTTCATTCCCCTTGTTCTTTATGCTTTTCCACACCAGCCTTCTCGTTTTCCCTCAAACATGCTGCTTCCTACCCATTACTCCATTTTATTTTCTTTGAAGCCTCTGCCACCATTTGAAATTATTTTATTTGACTACTCATTTCCTGCCTTCCTCTGGAGTACCTGCTACATGAGGGTGGGGTCCTTGTCTATTTTATTCACTCTCTATCCCCAGCGCCTACAATAGGGCAATTGTTGGACTCAGATATTTGTGGTATGGATTCATGACATGATCTTCAAATATGAGTAGAAAGTTACACTTCTGAGTGTTTACAATATCTTGATATTCTTTTTTTAAAATTTAGTTTATTTATTTATTTTT